GAACCCAGGGGTGCTTTACCACTGAGTTATATCCACAGCCCTTTCTAATTTTTTATGTTTTGTTTTGAGACAGGTTTTTGCTAAGTTTCTAAGGCTGGCCTTAGTTGTGATCTACCTCAGCCTCCCATGTTGCTGGGATACACTTAGAAACCCAGAACAAAAATTCCTATAGCCATGCTATATTGGATAACATTTTCTTTCCCTTTCCTTAAGCATGCTAGGAACTTACTCTGATGAATTTGGAAACCTAGATTTTGAGCGATCACAGCATGGCTCTGGAATGAGCAATAGGTCAACAGCAAAAAGATTTATTTCTGCTCTCAACAGCATTGCTGAAAGAACTTATAATAATCTGTTTCAATTCCATCAACTTCGACAGATTGCCAAAGAGCTAAATATTCAGGTATGATAAACTAAATACTTAATCTTTTTTTATTAATAATTTAAGGAGTCTCATTAATGTATAATAGAACAAAAACAGATTTTATTTAAGATTTATACCTACCTCTTTACAAAGTTCTTTCAACATCTTCATAGCTAGAGGGAAGCATCATAGCAAGACCCAGTCTCCATATGGGGATTGCTGACAATCCCTGTGGGCAAGTCATCTTATTGTCTTTGAACCTCAGTTTCTTCACCTGTTATATGTACATCATTCCATCCATTCTTCCTATTTCAGAGTTCTAGGAAAAAATCAATGTAATTGCATTTTTAAACATGTAAAACAGTTTACATGTTTTGGTAAAATTACTTAATTTTAAAAGCTAGTCTAATTTTTGTTTTTACACTAAAAATATACTGAGGTACAGTAAAAAGTACAAATAATTTTATTTCTCCAAGAAACTTGATAGTTACATATTACTATTGGGGAGATTAAAAAGTCATATTTTGGCCTATTACTTAACAGGCTAATTTTTTTTTTTTATGTTTTCTTCCAGGTTGCTGATTTTGAAAACTTTATTGGATCACTCAATGACCAAGGTTTCCTCTTGAAAAAAGGCCCAAAGATTTACCAGCTTCAAACTATGTGAAATGGCTTTGCCATGTCAAGGACTCCATTTAAAGCTGTCTCAAAAATGAAGACTATGTAAAAAATTGTTCTGAAAGATAATGATCTAAAAGTGATACATTAGGAAGAAAGTGTTATAATATAAAAAGTGATAGTCATGTGTTAAAATTTTATAGATTCTACAAAAAAACAAATTATTTACATTGTTTTATCTAAATGAAATAAATTATTTATAGTTGAAATTTTGAATTTTTTTAATATTTCAGTTTTACATATATTAGATGTTCATCAGGGAAAACATTTCGGTAATACCTAAACAAATGAGTCTGTCCATGTTCCAATAAAATTTTCAACACTAAAATCTGAATTTTATAAAACTTTCATGTTGAGAATATAAAATATTCTGAATATTTAAAAAAATAACTATTCAGGGCTTGGGATGTGGCTCAAGTGGTAGCGCGCTCGCCTGGCATGCGTGCGGCCCGGGTTCGATCCTCAGCACCACATACAAAAGATGTCCGCCGAGAACTAAAAAATAAATATTAAAAATTCTCTCTCTCACTCTCCCTTTAAAAAAAAAAAATCTTTCATTAAAAAAAAAAATAACTATTCAGTAATTATAAGCAGGGTGTCTGATTTGACCCACAGGCTAGTTTTTGTAGACTCTTGGTTGCAAGCAGTAGAACTTGATTAAGTAAGAGAAGAAGTTTTGGGGAAGAATTTTGGTTACCTTACAGAATTGTAAGAAGGCAGATGATCCAAGAGGATAAGCTTCCAGAAGCAATTTGTAAAACCATGCCTTAGAACTGGCCTGAAAAGGAAACTGCTACCACCCTACTGCCACACTGGATGCTGAATGGGAATGTGCTACAGCTCCTATGCCCCACTGATTTCACTTACATACCAGGAACCTCTGCAGAAAGACTAAAGAATACTCCCTACCCACACCGGAAGAGCAACAAAGGGATTCTTCATGGGCATCTTTAAATTGCTGAATTCTAAAGAGAAGCCTCATCCAGAAACAATTAAAGAAGGCTTTTCATAGGATGCTAGGGAGTTTTCCCAGTTCTACTTCAGGAGACTGGACCACTTATGTCAGAATTTTCCACATTTTGTGAGTGAATTAAAATGGAACTAGGCTGCCAGCCAAACTAGCATTTGTGTATGTAACCAGCAAACACTCTTAACATACAGGCAGTGTGAGCCATTTGGAAAATAGTAAATCTCAGCAAACCAGATGAATGAAAAAAAATTTTTATTAAAAAAACAATGTACATTGAATATTTAAACAATAATAAGATCAAAACTAAAATGAATGTGGGATTAATATTCAATGTGAATATTAAAAGCTGATTTTCTGAAAAGGTAGATGGTAATGTAACTATGTCTTTAAAGACTAAACAGACTTAGTATGTTTCATAAGAACTCAAGAGATGACATCAAAAGCAGTAGACATTAAAGAGGAAATAGGACCTTTCGGATCTTTGAAAGATCAAAGGGTAATAATATTAGGTAAAGTAATAGGGGAAAAGATGATTATAAACCCAATTTATCAGAAGAAATGTTTCCATATTCTTTTAGAATCTGTATTGTTTATTTGGCATCCACTAATTACAGGGCCAAACTAACAGCTAGTTGTTTACTTATCCCTTGCAATCAGCTTAAAAGTTTTATTTCAAACCCTTCAGTCACAAACCCCGAAGTTTATGTTTCACTTCCTGCCCAATAGGGGGCCTCCCCTCCTATAAGCTTTTATTACTAATAGTAATAAAAGCTCTGGACTAGGCTTTCCTCTCCTTCCTTCTGCCCAATTTCCCCTTACCAGGGTTATTCAAAATCCATGTCTACCTAGGAGAATTGTAAATGTCTGATTCCAGACCTTGTTTCTACAATGCTAGAACAAAAAATTCAGTTTTTCCCTCAGTATCAGCATTTCAACATGTGCATAAGAAATTTAAGATAATCTTGATAAAATGCTCAGGTCTATAATTATGTTCAATTTCAAATGGTCTTTAAGGTCAACTTTAAAGTGGGTATGCCATCACAGACCACCCCCTGGAAGGGTGTAATGGAAGCCACAAGACCCATTCATATTGTTTGGTACAGCAGAAGATGTAGCTCCATGGTAGTGGCACCTCAAATAACCAAAAATGTTAATGTGTTAATATGTAACATGTTAATACTGAATACATAATAATCAATGATTAACTAATTCATGACTACTTGGGATTTTCTTAGAACAAGCAAGTTTTTTTAACCTCTAAACCTAATTGTTTTCTATAACTAAAAGTAAAGGTAATACTGGAGCCTGTGTTAGAATTGGAAGGATTAAATGAGATAATAATGCACTTTAGCCTTTATAGTAAGTTCTCTTCCCGGGTAAACAATTAGCAATTTTTATTACTGACATTCTCCATTATTCCTATTTTACACCTAGATATATATGTTCATTTTAATAAAAGCAGGAAAGGAACAGAGAGCTAATACTTAGGCTACACCAGATACTTGACTAATATTTTAAGCCTCCCACAAGGACCCCAAAGCTCCACATACATCCTCAAAGGTTATTTTATGTCGACCAGCCTCGGAGGATTTCACCCTGCTACCTTAGATGACGCCTGCTGCCTTCCAGCCACTTTGGCCAAACAGTCACATGGGTCCCTGCTCCTCTCCCCCTTTCCCAGCCCACTGGCTTTGGTTCTGAGGCCGCGCCAGGTACCGCAAAGCCCGCGGGATCCTAACGGTACACACCTCCCGTTGCCGCCCGGGGGCGCTGAGGAGCCGAATAGCGTCGGTGTCGCAAAAGTGTCGCGAAGGCGTACTTCCTTGGCGGTTCCAGGCCACCTGTATAAGCGGAGCGTGCTGGGATTTGAAACTAGTATGGAGGCACCAGCGGCCGTGCTTCCCCGGCACTTCGGTGTCTCTATGGAGAAGCGGCTCGCCGGTGACTCGAGCTGCTGAGCTTTCGCCGCCTCGGCCCTCGCGGCACGGCCGCAGGGCCATGCTGGCCTCGCGCTTGGCGCGCGGCTCGTGGGGGGCCCTGCGTGCGGCCGCCTGGGTGCTAGGGATGCGGTCGGGTAAGGGGCGCTCCCGCGGGGCCTTGCTGCCGCTCGTGCCCTGCTGCCTGAGCTGCCAGGCCGAGCGCTGGTCGCTGCGCCCGGCCGCGCTTGCCCTGCGGCTGCCCAGAGCCGGCCCACGGAGCCACTGCTCAGGCGCGGGCAAAGCGGCCCCTGGGCCTGCGGCAGGAGGGGACGCCGCCGCGGAGGCCCCGGGCGGCGGGTGGGTCCCGGCGAGCGCCCCCAGTCCGGTACGTACCGAGCGGGGCGCGAGGGGCGTCGGCTTTCCGGGGTTGGTCCTGGGCGGGAGTGGCGGACGGTGGGCTGTCCCAACGGTTTGGTTTCAGAACTTTTCCACCATTTCCTGAGAAGTATTCGGCCAGGATGAATTTCAGGGGTACCATCGGGGTCGCCTCCAGTTTAGGTTGTCAAGTTAGAAACCTCGTTCTTATCCTTTTTTTATCTGCACCCGTTGCCGAAAGCCCCTAAGCATATTGCATTGGTTAAAAAAAAAAAAAAAAAAAGTCTTCGCTAGCCTTATCGAAAGTTAGTTTTCTAAAGCGAATCCCTAAGGTATAGGGCGAGTCTGTGGGAATCTTCAGAAAAGTATACAGTCCTTTCCCTTTGCTTGTGCATGTTTGATTCACCGTAATTTGACCTGACACATTAGGATGAAGTATAATTAAATAGTTTATTGGGTGTAATTTTAAAAGTCCTTTCACCTTGAGTTATAGAGAAAGATTAAAACTGTTAACGGAAATAAATACCTGTCCACTTACCTGTTGAAATGCTTCTCAGGCAGAAGACATCAGAGCAAGAGTGAGACAGCTTTTGATGTCATGTCAGCAAGGCTGATGCAATTATTACATCTTCAATTGTTAGGTCTTCAGTGGGCCCCTGTACTGCTTTCATCAGTTGTACAGCATGGGTTGAGGTGGCCACATCCTGGCAGGAGTCTCAACTCCACTAATAGCTAAAGCATGTTGGGGTTTGAATGCTGGATGCTTTGAAATTGCCCTGTCCTGGCTGAAGTCCTTCTCAGAACGGCAGTAGTTGGTCGAGTATGCCACAGGTTATCTGGTTGGGTAATCTGAGATTAGCTCTCCTAATATTAACTTTGAAATTTACAAATTTAATAGCTAGAAATTAATGAGGTACTTTATTTTACTGAAATATTTTATGTAGAGCTTAAAAGAACTCTTTATAACTTTCAGTTATTTATTAATACACCAAAGTGGAAGTGGCTTTTTGCAATTTTGTGTTTAATTTTGTCTGATAAGTATCTCTGAGATTATTATTTTGGGGCTCTTCATTGTGATCTTGATTTGCTATCCCCATTTTCTCAATCATGAATGTTCCCTCTCCCACCCCTTCTATGAGTTGTTGTACCTTTGAATCAGTATTTGACTTCTCTGTACCACAGTATTGTCAACAGACTTTATCTTTTTTTTTCCTTTGGACTCTGACACCCTATAATGATTTGCAGGAGTAGAAGATACTGGAGATTGAACCCAGGGGCATTTTACCACTGAGCTACATTCCCCAGCTCTTTTAATTTTTTATTTTGAGACGGTCTCGCTAACTTGTGAGGCTGGCCTCCAATTTACAGTCCAGCCTCACCCAAGTTGCTGAGATTACAGGTGTGCACCTTCACTCCTGGTTCTAACACATCGTAATATTTGAACTTAAATTTGGAATATATTCTTAGAATGTTTTCATGTAATTATAATATGTCCTATTTTTAATAAAAGATCTCAAAAGTAGAGGTTTGATTCTTGTTTAGTGACTGTTCACTGGGAAATATGAAGTTTTTCTGTAGTTCAGTTACAGTATTCTGCCACCTGACCCCTCAAACAGTCTCTCTTACCCCTGTGAACTGAGATGCTTTCTTGCTAGATTCTGTTTATAAACTTAGTATTTTTAGAGATGCTTTCTTTAGAGAATGCCTTTTCTTACACAGTAGTTCATGGTATTTTGAAAGATGAAAGATTTGGGCAACTTGATTACTGATTAAGAAAAGAGTTAAGTAGGGTTAGTTCTTTAAAGTCTCATGGGGTGAAACTGTCAGTCTTGATTCAGGAAAGGCATTTTCTTGTTATTTCTGTACCCTGATGTGCCGAGAGTCTTAGCTCTGTTAGGCTGAGGTTTTTTTAAAAATTGAAATACCTTCTTATGAATCAGATTCTTTTTGGCCAGGAAGGGGGTTGTTCTTTAGAGCAGCTGTCAAAGAGCTCTTTGGTAAATGCCAACTTCTGACAGCTTGGCTCCAAATGAAGTTTCAAGGAATCAAACTTCCCATATGGAACTGTGAAAGCCCTGGGTTTCTACTTGAGGGTGTAACATTGCCATTGCTATTTTGAACATATTTACAAATGTCTGTCATAGGAAAATAAAGATATCCCTGTCTGTATTTCCTTCCAGCAATTCTCTGACTTAGTGATGAGATTATTGAATTAAGTCTGTGTAAGGGAATGAGGGAAGTAGATTGCAATAAATGTTTGAAGTTGCAGTGCCTGGGTTGATAATTTGACTTTTTTCGAATGCTTTCTAGACTTGTCTACTTAATAAGATCATTCAGTAATTTAACTTTTAAAAGCAGTGTTAAATAATAAAGCCTTAACTTACATGATAATACATGTTGTCTCTTCAGTCTTTAGAATGAAAACTCAGTCTATACACACACTTATATATGAGTACAAAGTTTAAAATTTATGTAGCTTCTTATTCTTAAGTTTATTAAGTGAACTTTTGATGTATAAGTTTATTTAAAGTGTGAATTTTTATTATTTAAATTTTGTTATCTTTGTGTTTCAGTATGAAAATCCATGGACAATCCCAAATATGTTGTCAATGACAAGAATTGGCTTGGCCCCAATTTTGGGATATTTGATTATTGAAGAAGATTTTAATGTTGCACTAGGAGTTTTTGCTTTAGCTGGGCTAACCGATTTGGTAAGTTGTAAAAGCACGTTTTTTTTTTTTTTTTTTTTTTGGTCCCTTCCTACATTCCATGCTCTCTACTACTGTCCTGAAATAGCACAGCCTTAGTCAGCTTTTCCTTGGAAGGAAATCCTCAAGATGAATTTGACCTAGTTCTTTATGTAAGGACTTGTCTTTAGCATCTGTGTGGAACATTTTTATATAAGTCTAAGGGGAGGAAGTAAAGGTTTTAGGAAGGAATAACACTTTTTACTGTTGGTTTTAAACTTCTTTATAAAAGGAGTACCCTTAGAAGTTCCCAAGAGCTGAGTGCTTGCTTTAGGATAGAAATAAAGAAGAGAGGTTATGAGATTCTTTTTCTATTTATTGTGATAGAAATTCTCTGATCTGCAACAAGAGTTAGTTTTCCTAATGGAGAAGAAGACAATTGTTATGGCCTAGGGACTAGGATGTGCCCCAAGAGCTTGTAGAGGTCAGAGCTCTTTTCAGCTTTAATGTAAGCATGAGGCTGCAGTTACCTCACAAAATTGGTCCTTGATTCTGCTCCATACCCCTCTGAGTACCCTGCAGAAGACCTTACTTTTGGAGGAGGCATTTGGGCATCTTTCCTTCTTCCACTGTCCCTGGAGATGAACAAAAGAGAGAAGAGCTCTTTGACACCAGTATGTCAGTTTGCGGGAGGGTAGATTTATTTGAGTCATCTCAAATTAGAGTTGGGGGAATAATCTTATGACAGAAGGCTATATTACTTTTGTGGACTGTCATCATCTATGACATTATTTGTAATTATCACCAACCTTGTTTCATAAAAGATTTGAAGTAACTTATAAAACTACACATGCTATAAAAACAGTTGGGGGCAGTACAGAAAAGGTAGAGGAAAAATTACAAATCAGGACAAAATTAGTGTGTGGATGATAACTTCCTGCCCAGGGCTGGTTTGAGGTCCATGTGAGCACCTAAATAGGCAATAATAATTTGGTGCCTCTTCAAACCAATTTGCTTTTGAAAAGTTTTGCTTGATATTTATTCAGTGAGAATAGAGAGAAACTAATTTATGATAAATAAAAGTGATACAGCATCTTTCTTTGTAATGTCAACTGTTTCTTTTGAGGTTCATAGAAGCAAAATTCTACCTTCCTAGTACTAGTACATTGGTGTGTACTATAGAATTAGCTGATGGTTTTAAAGGATAAACAAAGGACATTGTTTGCATTGTTATATGGTATTTCCAAATATAGCCTCTCAAATTAGCTCTTTTTTTCCATAGTTTAGCTATTTTTTTTGTCATCTCCTTGTCCCATTCTTAGAATCTATCTCCCTTTCTTTTATGCCTTCTTTTATTTCTGAAGCCTAAAGGACTTCACTCATTAGTGTGATCTCTAAGTCTGTCAAAGGTTATTACACTGATAATGAAAATTTTTACATATTAGGACAACAACTTTTTCAGTTATTGGATTCACCATTTTTGTTTGCTAGTTTTTTGTTGTTGTTTTTTGAGGGAATAGTTAGCTGCCACATGAGATTGCAATATTCACTACAAGGAAGAAAGGTTCCATTAATATTTTTCTATGTATATGATGTGCATGGAAACCTGAGTTGACTGATATCATATTTCTCGTTTACTCCATGGAAGTTTTGATGGCTTCAGATTGGCCACAAATCAGATGGCCAGACTTACGTTTTAGCAGGGGTTTGGCAGGTCTAGACTGAATTGTATATAGGAAATGGACTATAGGAAGGTAAGAATAGAAACTTTCCTACAAAAGAAATAGTGGTAGCTTGGACTGGGATGGGAGTTAGAATTGGAAGTGGATGGGTTTGAGATAGTATTGATATGTTGACAAAGTGGATATATGGAGTGAAGGAGGAGTCAAATATGAACACTAGACTGTTAACTTTTTAAAAAATTTCCTCTTTTCAACAGCCAGGTGCGTGGAAGTAACATTTTCTAGAATGAGCAACATTTGGGGTTTAGGGAAAAATAGGAAGAATTCTGATGCTTGTCTATGTAGAGGCATCATTTGGAAGTCAAATGTAGTGTGGAGTTGGAGGAAGTCATCAATATAGAAGTGCAGATTTGGGAGCAGTCAGGTACATTTGGTGAAATATCTAGGCTGAGGTAAAAGAAGAGAAATGAGAGGTTAGAGAAATGAGCAACAAATGGAAGAATAGGGAAGTCAGTGAAGGACACTGAGAAAGGAATATTTGGTGAGAAAGGAGGAAAATTAGTCAGTATTCCAGAGTGAAGAAAGTGCTGCATGTATTGAGGTCAAATAAAAATGCAGAATTCATAGGTGACCTTTGTAAAAGCCATCTCTAGAGGAGTGGGGGGGGGCCTAGTGGAGTGGGTTGAGGACAATGTGAGATGGTAAAATGTCCTTACAACACATCCAAATGTTAGGTGGTAACATCTAATTATCTTACCACCTCACATTTGAGTGTGTTGTAAGGAAGTTTTGCTTTGCAGTGGGATAGAGAAATAGGGTCAAATAAGGTAGTTTTAAAGATACATGTACAAAGTGGATTTTTTGATAGCTGATTAATGTGATGAGAAGGAATTGATTGATGATGCAGGGGAGATAGGAAAGAAAGGAGATAAATCACAGAAGGTGAGGGCTTGGTATAGATCGGGAAATACAGTGAAGATAAATGGATGCATCTTGGAGGTGGGAATATGAGGGAGTACTAAAAATGGCTTTTGTTTCTTTTTTTTTTTTCCCCTCAAGGAAAATATAGACATGGATATGGGTTAGAATAAGAGAGTTTAGAAAAAGTGAAGTAGTGTGGAAAGAGAAGGTGAATACCATTGGCAGATATAAGATTGTCAGGTGATGTTGAGTGCCACCATAGATTTGTGGTCATGAATTTGGAGTGAAACCAAATTTTGCTCCAACCATGTATGTATTTATCTTTGACAGTATTGAGCTGCTTGCCTATAGTCCTGGAATATATGGATGGTTGTTTTGTGGTGGTATCCAGGGAGAATAGAGTTTACAAAGTTGTAGATGTTTACTAAGGAATGGTGATGGTTGACCTTGAAATCCAGTGTGAATCCAAGTAGTGAGAACAAGAAGGTAGAAGTTAAAGAAAGAAAAAGTGGGAGGTTAAGTCTCCTGAGATCAAATAACTAGCTTGCAAGTTGGAGCTTATAAGGTCCCAGCTCCCCATTCTAGAGGCTTTCTATTAGACAACATTGCCTTTAGTCTGCTTAAGAAGAAAATGGATTGTTTCCATTGAGAAAGTAATAGCTAGTAACTGCTTTTTTTTGTTTTGAGGATTTACTAAGAGCTGAGCACTGAACAAATATTAAATCTCATTATGTGCTGAAGATAGCCAAGCCTCTGAGGTAGGTGATATTGTCTGTTTGACAGATGAGGAAACTCAGAGGCCAAGTAATTTGCCCAGGGTTACACAGTAAGTGGCAGAGCCAGAACTGGAGCCAGTTCTATTCTGCTATATAAAGACCACATTTTTAACCACTGAACTATTGCTGACTCCTTTAATTCATGGAATACTTGAGATATGGAAGACTTTTTAATCCTTTAAAATGTACTGTATTTAATTATATCTATTTTATTTTTCTTAGAGATAGAAATAAAAAATTCAAACATTTGTTGAAGGTTGATGTTAAATAAAATGAGTAAAAATTCTGGTAGGAACTAGAATAAACCAGAAAATGTCTGCTTTGGTTAGTATGGGTAGGCAGTATTTGGTTTTGTGGCCCCTGCCTGACGAGGTCTTTGTCTCTCAAGTTAGGCTATAGATCTGGATTTTTATGGTAAATATTGGCAATTAATTACTATTTTTAAAAGCTTTGGCAGATCAAATAAAACCAGGCTTCAGGACCCATTTGACCCACTGGCAACTGGGTTTTAGTCTCAGCTTTAAAATATGTTTTCAATAATAAGTAATAAAAATAAGTATTTTAAATATCAGCATTATAACTAGGCCAGGTATAGAGGACCAAGCTTTTTTTCAAATACAGGTATTGCAAATACAGACAGAATATAGATTTAACAGTGGGACTGAACAAAATAAATTATAAAATTAAAAATAAGTTGTAAGGAATTGAATCATATTATGGAAAAGTAGACAGGAAGATGTTTGGTATCTCACAGGTAGAGAAATTCTCATAAATAAAGGCAGCTGTTTTGGCTGCAGTGAATGTAACTCAGGGCTCAAAAGCTCTGTTAGTCATGCTTTCTGTGAGTTTTGTATGGCTTCCTCTAAATTGGTGTCTGGTTTCATTCCACAAAGAGACACTGTGAAATAGTGAGAAATAAGACTCTTGAAGGGGGGAAAATAGTAATGTAAATCTGAAATTATTTTCAGACCAGTTGTTAATTTAAAAGAATGAGAATACTGTTTGTGGGGGTAAAGAAACAGAGAGATTTTATTAACATTTTATGAAAGTGTAGTTGTGTTTCTGGTATCTCTTAAACTTCAAGATATCTACTCTGTTCCTATCATGACATTTATAAAAAAAACACTTCTATTTTCAGTTGGATGGATTTATTGCTCGAAACTGGGCCAATCAAAAGTCAGCTTTGGGAAGTGCTCTTGATCCACTTGCTGATAAAATACTTATCAGTATCTTATATGTTAGCTTGACCTATGCAGATCTTATTCCAGGTAAGAATGCCATCATGCAAACTTTTAAATAGCATAGGGAAGAATGACATTGGTCTTAGGATTTCTCTTGAGAGACATTATTTTTGTTCCAAAAATTGATTTTGCAACTTTAAACTGTTTCCTTAATTTTAAACTGTTGAACTGTTTTGCTAATAAAACTGTTTATTTTAGAATTTACATCCTTGTTATACTAATAAAAGCAGTTGTTTTCTTAGATTGTTTAAAATTTAAATTAAGCAAATATCTCATAGTGCCAATTCATATTATTTTAAAATGTTTTGGTGCTCTAGTATATATTTTTAGTGCTTAACTTTTTAAAAGTAATTTAAGGTTTTTCTAAGCCTCTGATTATCTTTATAAAGTACAGTTTAATCATAATGAGAACTCTGAAATCCTGAAGGTATCTATAAAATTTCACGCTATGATTATTTAGACAGTATTGTGCAATTTTCAAATCACACATATAGTTTGTATATTATCTTAATATTTTTTCTGACATTTTATGAACTTTTGCTTTGTGTTTTTGCATGTTCATTTTCTACTTCAATTGTACTGTTCCCCCCCCGCCTTGATCCAGATTAAACTGTATTTTTTTCCCCAAGAGTTAGAAATCTAAGAACAGTGAAGCTTCCATATGGCCCTTTAGTGTCACATCACTATTGATATTTCATGGAAAGAAGTATAGTGGCAGTTCAGTCTAGTGTAGTCTCTTCAAGCTCAAAGTTCTTTTTCTCCTTTTCGTCAGTTTTCTAAATTATCAAACCAAATTAAAAATAACAGATTAATGTTTATATTTATATGCTGCTTTGAAAGTTAGAAGGTACGTATATAATTGGGAGGTTTGAAGAGGGAGAGGGTGCTCTCTCATTCTAATGCATATAAATTTCTAGGGAAAAAAAACCTGTAGAGCATTCTGTGGACATTCAAAATTCAGTTGATCTTTTTATTTTTTAATTTTTTTAGTGTATTTTCATACCTCATTTTTTTTTAAGTTACATTGTATTTTGTTATGTTGTTTTATTCAGGTTGGCCATTTCATTTTCCTGTTGAATATTGTTTCCAGGTTTTTGGTATTATGTAATGTTGCTATGAACTTCCCTTAAGTAATTGGAATGGGTTGCTTCCAAGTTGAGTTTCTCTTCACTACCATTCTGTGTTTTTCCAGGCTCTCATGTCTTCCTTTTTACCAAGTATCCCCTTTGGTGAAGTTCATCCTTCACTTGTTTTCTATAAAAGGATGTAGTTTGGCAGCAAAACTTTTGGCAGTTTTAGACATTTAAAATATCTTTTGTTTATCCTCTATACTTTATTGGCAGTTGAACTGGGCATAATTTTTCAGTTGCAGATCACTTTCATATAGAATTCTGAGGATATTCTTAAACTTCCAAATTTTATCTTGCTGTAGAGAATTTCATGCCATTCTGATACTTTTTCCATTATATGTGATTGTATTTTATATTAGAAATCTCTAAGGATTTAAAGATTTTTTAAAAAATAATCGAAATCTTATCATTTTCTTCTCTACCTATATGGGTATTCAGTTATCCCAGCACTGTTTGTTCATTAATAAACATGTATTGTCCAAACTCACTGTAATATCCATGTATACCTGGGTCCATTTCTGGGTTTTCTATTTTTTTTGTTGTTGTTGTTTCTGTTGATTTGCCTGTCTGCACCACTAACACTTTTCTTGTTGTTTTGCTAAAAGTTCTGATAAGTGATAGAGCAAGTCCTTCTACCTTGGATATTCTTAGACCATTCCATTTGCTTATAAATTTTAGGATTATTTTTCCCAAATCAGTAATTCTATGAGCGGGACGGGGGCAATCTGTTGATTTTGATTAGAATTGCATTGAATCTATAGATCTATTTGGAAGAATTGACTTTTTTTTAATGAGAGTAAATCTTTAATCCATTTGGATCTTTAATGTCTCCGACAGTTTTTTACTATTCTCCAGAGAGGTAATACATTTGTTGATAGGTTTACTCCTAAGTACTTAGTAGTTCTTGATACTTTTATAAATGGTAGCTTTTAAATTTTTATTTTATAATAATTGCTGTTATGATGAAAGTCAGTTCTATTTCTAATGTTGATTTATGTATAGCAAAACTTAATTAAAATGAATTCTGTTGGACTTTCTACATCTTCTGCTATGTACTGATAAATAACAATATTTTTCCTTTTCCAATCCTTTCACCTTTTCTTTTACTTATTACACCACTCATACAAGGAAAAGGAAAAGTGACATCTGTCTTATGAGACAGATGAATCTCAGAGAAAGCATTTAACATTTCAGTATTGAAGGTTTCTGTAGGGATTTTTAGAGTTCCTTTTTTTCAAGTTAGAAAGTTCATGTCTGTTGGGAGGTTGTTAAATTTTAATTACAATTGGATATTGAAGATTCTTTGTGTAAATGAGATGAACAGATCATTTTTCCCTTTTAGCTGTTAATGTGGGATCAAGTACATTATTGATTTTCTAGTGTTAAAACAACCTTGAAGGGCTGGGGATGTGGCTCAAGCGGTAACGCACTCGCCTGGCATGCGCAGGGCACTGGGTTTGATCCTCAGCACCACATAAAAATAAAAAAAATAAAGATGTTGTGTCCACTGAAAACTAAAAAATAAATATTAAAAAAATTTTCTCTCTCTCTCTCTCTCAAAAAAAAAACTTGAAATTGCTGGTTTAAATCCAGTATGGCCGTAGTAAATAATAGAGATATTGGATTTAGTCTGCTATAATTTTGTTGTTGAAGATTTCACATACAGATTCATGAAATTGGTCTGGAATTCTTTTCTCCAAATATTCTGGTTAGGTTTAGTATAAAATTTATAACTAACCTCATAAAACAAGCTAGGGAATTTTTGGTTTTGCTTTTGTTTTCTTTCCATTATTGTGAAATGTTTTTGTGAGATTGTACTTATTTTCTAATTTTAAATATTTCATATAATTTGTTGAAGCCCGTAAGGCTTAGAGTTTTCTTCAAGGGAGAGTTGAAAGAGGTGATTCGTTTATCTTCAGTTATTATAGGATTATTCAGTTTTAATAATTCATCTTTTTAATAGTTTATCTTTTGATCATTTTTAAAATTATGATGTTTTTCCAGAAATTCATAGACTTCATCTGTATTATTAAAATTTTATTATAAGCTATTGACGCTTTTCCTCTCCTTTAATGTTTTTCCTGATCCATCTTGCCAGAGACTTTGTCTATTTATGAGTTAACCAACTTTGGGTTTTGCCAAACCCCTCTGATACGTTGTTTACTACTTCATTAAACCTTGCTCTTTTTTCTGTTTGTTTTCTCTTCTTTGAGTTTTCTTTGCTGTTCTTTCTCAAAATTCTTTAGATCAGTTAGTTCTCTCTAGTAGAAATAAAGTAGGAACCACATATGTAATTAAAAATTTTCTAGTAGCAATGTTAAAATTAAAAAATAAGAGGAATCAGGTGAAAATAATTTCAGTGAATTATTTTATTTAACCTAGTATATTTTAAACCATGTCATTTCAACATGATTGATAAGAAATGATTGACTTTTTAAAAAATACTATGCTTTTGAAGTCTGTATTATGTTTTGCATGTATTGTCCCTCTCAGTTCTAACATTTCTGATACTTAATAGCTACACATGGCTATTCTATTAGAGAGTGCAGCTATAGATGGATATGTATGTAACTCACTTCTTTTTACCTTTTCTTTTTTTTTTTAAGAGAGAGGGGGAGAGAGAATTTTTTTTTAATATTTATTTTTTAGTTATTGGCAGACACAACATCTTTCTTTGTATGTGGTGCTGAGGATCGAACCCGGGCCGCACGCATGCGAGGCGAGCGCGCTACCGCTTGAGCCACATCCCCAACCCTCTTTTTACCTTTTCTAAAGTTTGCATGTAAGACTTTACATTTCCCCCTAAATACACTTTTGTTGCATCTTGTATATTGATATTAGTGTTTTTATTGTCCATTATAGAATATTTTCCTGTTTCTATTATGATTCTCTCCTCTACTGTATAGTTAATATTAAGTGTTTTTTAATTCATTGTCAATTTGTGGAGATCTTTCTAGCTTTCTTTTCCAGAGAACATGTTCTGTGATTTCAGTCTTTCAATCTAGTGTATAAATTTGTTAAACATTTCTACATGTGCTTCAAGTGAATTTATATTCTGCAGTAATTGGGTCTGATATTCTGTATATGTCTATTAGATCAAGTTTTCAAATCTGTTAAGTCTTCTATTTTTTTTTTTTTTTTTTTGATACTGGGAATTGAACCCCCTGGGGTGCTTAAACCACTGAGCCACATCCCCAGCCCTTTAAGTTTTATTTTGAAACAAGGTCTCACTAAGTTGCTTAGGGCCTCCGCCTCCTGAGCCGCTGGGATTACAGGTGTGCACCATCATGCCCTGCAGTCTTATTTCTTTATTGATTTTTCTTACTCTTTGTTCTGTTTGTTCTGTTAGTTACTGGGAGAATGGTTAACATTTCATTATGTGTATCTCGTTTTCTGTGTTTTTCTTTGCAATTCTGATTTTGCTTTGTATCCTTTGAAATCATGCTGTTAATATCTTCTTGGTGAATTGAATATTTTAATGGTGACCCACGAGACAATTGCAGGTGGTAAAATGAATTCAGAGGTGATAATTCCTGGGTCACACTGCTGGGTTTCAGCCCAGTGCACTGCCCAGCATAGCCTGAATTCCATAGACATGAATTTTAATTTGCACGAGTTTGCTGCATTTTTAAAAGTATGATTGTTGTTAGAGTTTACCAGCTAATGATTGCTATAGAAAAGTTTGTTCTATAGGTTTAAAAAGGCTTCTAAAAATCATGGTTTGCTATTTTTTTTAGCTTGGCTAATATGCCATTACTTGAGTGCATAAGCATTTTCTCCTTGGAATAGTGTTGTAATAGAGGACTGGGCCAAGGATCAGCACTTACATCATATCTGTGACCAATAGACCTTGAAAGTTTAAATCTGAGCCAGGTGTGGTAGTGCACGCCTATAATCCCAGCAATTTGGGAGACTGAGATAGGAGGATCACAAGTTCAAAGCCAGCCTCCGCAACTTAGTGAGACCCTGTCTCAAAATAAAAAAAACGGGGAGCTGGGGATGTGGCTCAATGGTTAAGAGCCTCTGGGTTCAATTTCAATCCCCAGTATGTACATTTGTACATACATACATTTGTTTAAATCTGCAATTAGTGAGATTTGTTCAAATGGAAGAGCCAAAGCCAAAGACTGGATAGGACCACAAATACAACGTCATGTGCTTCATAAAAGGGTTGTTTGAATCTGTTATGGAAGAGATATATATTACACACACACACACACACACACACACACTTCTTTTATTTCGATAATTGAAACAATTTGAACTGAGTGACTCAGGATTCTTTTCCCTTAAAAAAAAATTTTTTTCTTTCTTAGAAAAGATATAGGGTCATGGTTAAAACTTCCTTTAGTGCAGAAGGATATAAAGTGAAGTGTCTGCCCCCTTTTCCCTTAAAAAAAATTTTTTTTCTTTCTTAGAAAAGATATAGGGTCATGGTTAAAACTTCCTTTAGTGCAGAAGGATATAAAGTGAAGTGTCTGCCCTCCCATTTCTATTCAACAAAAGGAGTAGGGATGCCTTGGCTATCCATCTAAAATATTCTTTTGGCTCTGGTTATAGGACCATGTTGCAAAATCTGAGGAATACAGCATCTCTGATGACATGTTCAAAAAGTTTTGGATTTTGGAGCATCTCAAATTTTGGATATTTAGATTGGGGATGTAGCTGATAAAGCCCAAGCAAATATTCCAGAACCTAAAAAACTGAAATCTGAATCACTTCTTGTACTAAGTACTTTGAATAAAGGATACTCAACCTGGATTAAAAATTAAAAAAAAAAATAGACAAGTTAAATTCCTTCAGTGCTTGTGTGGGGAGAAAAAATAATAGTTGCCTGGGTGGAACTTTCTGTACTAGACTAGAATGAAAATATTTTTTGTTTTTCTACAAGTTGTACATATAGCAGGTTTTACTCTTCAGAGAATAGTTTAAAATGCAGAAGCAAGTAATCAAAGCTCCAGATGAGTTTAAGTCCTCCTGCATCCTTCTTAACTTCATTATCATCTCTTTCCATTTAATTCTAGTGGACATGGCAATTTTTTTTTTCCTGAATTCACAAAGCTGAGAATTAAAAGATTGGGGGAGGAGGGGCTGAGTAAAGCTGTCACTGATATCTGCAAACTTATAGCTTATAAACATATGAAGGAAAAAACAAAAAGAGGCAAGAGGACTGACATTCTGAAAGGCAGATGGAGACTTTGAAAATCTTGTTTGCATTTCACTTTTGTTAAAAAATGAATCTAAAGATCATCAATGAGTGTTTATCCTGAAATTTTTACTTATAGAAAACATCAGCTCATGGTAAAGCTGAATGAGGCTTTATTGTTATAGTCATATTAGTAATTTGCAAAGTCCTTGTTAAAATTATTTTTTATTTAATTTTTCAGTTCCACTTACTTATATGATAATTTCAAGAGATGTAATGTTGATTGCTGCTGTTTTTTATGTCAGATATCGAACTCTACCAACACCAGTGAGTATTTTTCCAAAAATTATTCTTTTAGCATTATTTATGACTTTAGGCAAAAGTCAAGATTCATTGTATTATATGCTGTTTTGCTTTGTGGGAATAATTTGTAGCAGTATTTTTTATTCATTTACCATAGACTTTTAAAAAATTAACTATGCTATTTAGATCATAGATCACACTAAAATATTTATTTATGGAACTCATGAATGGCCCATTTTAAAAAGGCACATTTCTGTTTAAGTCCAACTCTTTTTCAATCACTGGTACATGAAATCTTGCACAGCTGGTCCCCATCCTTACTTAACAAACTGTTAAGAGGAATTTCACATGGTCCTAAGCCATATTGTTGTCTTATTTATTAGCCTTTACTATGGATTATTTAGAACTGGTTTCTAAGATCACAGTTGTACAAATATGGGATGATTTGCTTACATACTATACTTGGTCATTGTTATGTAAATATCTGAGCACGTAAGCATAGCATAATAACCTTTTTTGATTACCAGTCCAGTGAAAATAAAACAGTATTTTATTCATTTTGTTTTTTAAGAAAATAGTGATAAGAGAATGTCATTAGTTTATTTATCAAAAGATGTGACTTAGGATTTTATAGGATTTGAGAAATAAATTTGTAATATTTAAAGAATTGATTTTCAAGAGCCTGTGTATGGTTTGTAAGGAATGTAGATGCTCTTATTTAACATAATTAGAAGAATGCATATAAGGGGTTCTCAATCATAGAGCCAGGTTTATGCTAAGTATTCAGTAACTGTTATCTACATATAAAAAATGTTTTAAACTTGAACAATAAATTGAAACTTTGTCTTTTTTTGTCCTCTGCCAGCGAACACTAGCTAAGTATTTCAATCCTTGTTATGCTACTGCTAGATTAAAACCAACGTTCATCAGCAAGGTAAGAGTCACACAAAAACCTTTTTAAGTTATTCCTTTGTGAATTTTTACATTACAAACCTCAAGAGCAACTGAAGCTGGATCAAATTAAACACACTGAGTAAAGGGCATAGAAAAAGGGGTCAGGTAGACAAGTATAACACAATTCTTTTGTCCTCCAAGCTTTTGGGGTTCTTATATTACATTTTGCCTCATGTTGGTGGTCTGAGTTTAAGCTTAAAGAGTCACCACAAAGTGGCAAGGGATAGGAAAAAAGTTTCATTTTTTTAAAAAACTGTTACTTAGTTATCCCTTTTGTTTTCCTTCTTTTTCAAGGTAATAACTGTACACCTGTCTTTGCACACAATATTATGAAGCCATATGTGTGTGTGTGTGTGTATATATATATATATACACACACACACACACACACACACACTTTTTTTTTTTTTTTCCTGGTAGCCTTAATTTGCTCAAATCTTTCCTGTTTCATCCCTTAGGAAAGATTTATTAGGTTAGGAAAGCTGATCAGCTTCAAGGCAGACGAGCCATTGCTTTTGTTAAAGACTTATGGGATGGACTTTTACCTACATACATAGGAGCTTTTTTGGCTTTGAGTGACTTGTATTTATGTCAAATATAGCAATTGGAGTGTACGTAGTACTACATAGAAAATGGCTTAAGAGGTGCTGGGACAAATTGCCTCAAAACAATTTGTTCTTTAAGGAGTCTTCCAGATAGAATTTATCATTTATTTTTTAAATGAAATGTAATCCTTATCATTTGGTTATGGAATGATTGCTAGAACGAAGTGCTTCTCTGCACACATCACCTACTACTTCATAATCACAGACTCTTTAGGCAAATTAAAGGAACACTGGATAAGGCAGTGGGGAATCTGGATTACAGGTTTGATTCTTCTGTGACTGCAGGCAAATCACCTAATTCATGTCCTCTCAGTTAGGAAGAGGCAGCTTGATACTCACAGCACTGTTTTAATGGGCGGCTGGTAAAAAGGGAATGAGTTTTACAACATTATATGGATTGCTGTGGAAATTCAAGGTGGTAGTATTTTTCTGATAGTCATTACCCTCACTATAATAGGCAGCTATGGAGACAGATGGGTGAATGAAGCTGACCCTTTTATGTGTTCTCACTTGTGAATGCCAACTTCTTTGGCATGGATATTGCAGACCATCTTTAAGCCTGCTGAGTGTATGTCATGATGGACTATGCTTGAATCAGGATCAACTCACACAATAACTTTTTTTTTTTTTTTTTAAGGTAAACACAGCAGTTCAGTTAATCTTGGTGGCAGCTTCTTTGGCAGCTCCAGTTTTCAATTATGGTGATAGCATTTACCTTCAGATGCTTTGGTAAGCTAACTTTAGCATTGCTTTTGGAGAATCTCAACACAGTAGCTTACTTTGACAATCCTAGAATGACTTTATGTTTAATGGACACCTAACTGGAAGTGGAGACCATATTTTATGATTAATAATCATTTTTAAGAAGCTTACTCTCAAGAATTGGGGAATAAAAGCTAATTTTCATGAATTAAAAGGAATGAGGGGTACTGCTAATGCATTAGGGTTTGAGCAGAGGAAAGATTTTTTCAGGTAAGAGGAAGAGGGAGGTTAGCTTCAGGGAGTAAGTAGCATTGAGCCACGAGATAGAGGTAGATTTTGTATAGGGCAGCCATCAGGTGGAGGACAGATCCTCAACAAGGTCAGTTTAAGAGAGTAGTAATCAAGGAAAAAGGAGTCCATCCTAGGGAAAAGGTATAGTGAGAGGGACCCCTGGAGAAAGGAGTTTGAATCTTATGTTAATTGTTTATTTATATAGTCTTGAAAATTCAAACTTTAGGAGTTCAAAATGTGCCACAAATTTTTGGTCCATTTTTACCAATAATTAAAACTGTCTTGCTTGGTGCAATCTGAGCCAGAAAGTGTTGGTTAATCAGAGAGTTAAACCAAAGAATCTTTTTAAATGATGCATACTCTAATTTTTTAAAATTTTAATCTAAAAAACTTACTCTGGTTCATCTTATGTGTTACGATATAAAATGAAGGCTTTTTCGGGGCTGAGGTAGTTGCTCAGACTTAGAGCGCTCACCTAGTATGCATGAGGCACTGGGTTCAATCTTCAGCATCACATTAAAAAAAATAATAAAAGATATTGTGTCAACCTATAACTAAAAAATAAATATAAAAAAAAATGAAGGCTTTTTCTTTGGATATAGGCCTCTCTTGAAAAAAACATATCCATAATACAGCCTCTCTGATTTCCATATTTTGTTTCTTTCAGGTGATATAAGAACTTTATGATTGTTGATTTGTCTTTTGTTTTGGGTTTTTTTTTTGTAGTGCTGGGGATTGAACCTGGACCTTGCATATGCTAGGCAAGAGCTCTAGCACTGAGCTACACCCATCCTTACACAAGAACTGCAAAGCAATCTAAGTGTAGGATACATCTAAATGTTTATCATATTTTTCCAGGTTTTTTTTTTTCACAGCCATCTTATATTTATTTTGAATAGTATTTTTTAAATCAACTTGGCTTTTGATTTTCTAAAGCATCCATTCTAGTTCTCAGTAGCAATTCTTCGTACATTTGTATTTCATTGTTTATATATGAATTTAGAATACCAAACTGACATGAACACAGATCTGGGATCAAACAAAAATGAATATTAATGATTCTACATCACCTGGTGGAAACATAATCAAGTGGGTACCCGGGAAGTAACCTGTTAATTGGCTCGTGTTCCTCATGCCAGGGGCATCCCTCATGTCATCCCAAGGGGAATTTGATTAACCTGGCAGTTCACTTAAGGAAAAGTAAATAAAGAAAGTTGAATTTTATTTAAATGATGCATATATCCTTAGACTTTTAAAAAACTGTATTAAAAAAATAGAATCTAATATTCTAAGCAGCATGGAACAGTGAAAAGAGTACATGGGCTTTTGAGTTGAAACCAAGCCAGGTGCCTGCTTAATTCTGTCATATCCCTGAGCAAGTTCTCTCGTCCTCATTTCTCATCTGTAGGTAGAATTTATTGTGAGAATAAAATAGGAACATGAGATATCTAGAATAATATCTGCCTAAAAATGATATTTGCTGTCCTGAGGTCATGACTTAGTGGCACAGGCTTGCCTAGCACCGGCAAGGTACTGGGTTCAATTTTTGGCACCATATAAAAATAAATAAAGTAAAGGTATTGTGCCCATCTACAACTAAAAATATTTTTTTAAAAAATGACAGTTGCTAATATTATCATTAACTTTTAGGGCTTATTAACTAGATTAATTTGTTTGACTTATTAACTAGATTAGTAATTCAAATGAGGTCTTAAAAAAATGCTATATAGATTTTTATAATTTAAAAAAATTATGACAGTCTTTGTTTTTTAAATAGATCTTTTACTGAATTCTTTATGATTATCTGGTTATTGTTTTTTAGATTTGATGACTCAATCTTTCTTTCCTTCCATAAAAGGTATTTTACAGCTTTCACCACAGCTGCATCAGCTTACAGTTATTATCATTATGGTCGGAAAACTGTTCAGGTGATAAAAGGCAGATGAGAGTCACCCATCACCATTAGCAAGGAAGCAATACACATCGTCTGTGGCAATGCCAGCGAAAATCTACAGGAGTTTCCCTATTTTGGTGTTCAGCTTGTAAAAGGACTTGTCAGAACAAACCATGTCATCAAAATTGAAGTAATGTGCATTGAAAATAAGCTTGATCATGGGCATATGCAGAATTTCCAATGTATTTTTAAGTATAAATAAAACTATAATTTAGAATTTTTAATCTTAGGTTTCTTGAATATAAAGAGATGAATTATTCCAATTATTGTTAGTCCTTTTTTATGTTTTTTAAAAATATAGTTCAGAGCATGGAAACTGAAGTGTTGACACCTGTCTCTACAATCTAAGTTGCTCATGAAGCCATAGGGACTTGCCTGGGATTAAATATATATCTTATATAACTTGGCTATTCATTTTTATGTTTGATTTTTAGATTCATGTATACATTAACAGTTCATGTGGTTATTATTTGGTCATTTAGGGTAGTGAGAATAAAGTTAGCTGTGAATGAAGCAAAGTTGTAAAGAGATAAGTGTGGCAAGTTTTAAAAATAAATAAGATCAAACAAAATAGAAGGTATTGAAGCTCATCTCATGTTCAGGAGTCTTCCAGCCTCTCAGGTGCCTAATAGTTCATATATCAGGATAACAAGTAACAAAGATAGTTGAAATATGAGAACTTGTCCATTAGTCTTTCATCTAAAAGCAGTGAGTTACATCATGCCTTCCAACTGTGTTTCTAACATTACAATATTTGTATGATATTGGAACCTGTACTCATATATTGTGTAAATAATATGAAACTGTATATTTTTCAAAGATTTTTTAAACTTTGGGAAATCTTTTGTTAAGATGTTAAAGTAATAAAAGCTGGAAAAAAAATAAAACTGTACCTTCAACTTGGGTTGTTCATGGTGTGTATTCATCCTCTCCCATTATATAAGTTTTCTGATTCATGAAGTCCATTTTCAGTTGTACTTAATTGTAAAAGTTATTGATTTGGGACCATCTAATATAAAAGACCTTATTGCTACACTATCATGTTGAAGAGAGTGGGGAGTACAAGTTGGGGAGGAGAAGACTAGCTGGTGCTGGTTGGTTCCTATTAATAGTGGAGGTCTGTTGCTGCCCTTTGTTCCTGGTTTTAACCCAAGTATAACATGAAATCATACTGTGAGATTATCCAGTCCACAGCCTGTTGATCTGCTTTAAGTTAAAATGGGAAGTTAGAAGTAAAGCTTGTGCCTTTTTAGCATTGTGCCTCAGTGTGCCCCCTCTTGCTTGCTGCTCCTTGCTTTCCTGTTGTCATATAAGCAGCTTAACCACTCTAGGCTTGGAGCTTTCTGAAGCCTGCAGTCAGAAACACTGCCACCACTGGATCTTACGTGGAGCCAGGTAAGAAGGAAAAGAAGATGGGCGTGGAGCTGGCTGTTCGCCCTCTCATAGGCTGGAGGTGGGAATCCCACTGACAAGACCATCCAAGAAGTACGCAGGGGGCATCTCAGCACTAGCCAGGTGTGAGCACAGAAAAATACATATATTTTTTTTAAAAAGGAGACTTGTAGTTATGGGGAAATTTAGGATTTCATGCATTGTTAATACTTATTTACATTTTAGTGTTGCTGTTTGGGGTGACATGAGTTGGATCCATAATCTTGTTGAGATTAAGATCAATCTGGCTCTGTTCTATATACTTTTTCCACATCTACCATTAGAAAAAATGGTCCAAGTCTCCTCAGATTCTTGGAGCCTGGATTATTATAAATTCTGTCATTTTATAAAACATTGCAATTGTAGTAAATTAGGCATATTCAAGTACGTGTGCATATAGACTCAAGACACAAAGTTGAAGTCTTCACAGAATAGACAATATTAGTAAAAACATTGGGATCATTTAATTACATGTCAGGAGTTTACATTAATTTGTCACATTTTTGGCTTTTTTTTTTTTTTGCAGTCCATGGGAGGAGGGATAATTTAACCCTTATGGCAAGGGCAGAAAATGGTTGGTCAGAGCTGTTGTTTGTACTTTTATATAAGAGAGAGAGATCTGTGAGGATGTAAACTTTAAGAAATAAGCCTGTGAGAAGGGTGGAACATCCTTTTAAATGTTGGCAGCGCGGTCTTCCATCTCCAGACGATGATAGTGGACCTGTATGGGCTTAGAGGCTAAAATATTAATCTGTTCTTTAATAAATTGTACCAGCCTGTTTATAATGTAGGAGCTGGGAGAGATCTTTTAAATCAGTCTAATTCTCTTGGTTGCATATGTGATGAAGTTAGAGATACACATTAGAATTTCAGGAAACTTTCAAAATTTCAAACACCTAGAAATATATAGTGTTCAGTTATTCAGTTCAAAATTTGATATGCTTTAGTTTCTGCAGAATGTTTTAGGAATGAAATATATAGGATTCAAATGGCTTTTTCTTACAAAAAAAAAATTGCTGTTATGGAGTAAATCATGCCCCCCAAAAGATATGGCCAAGTCCTTAAGAGTACCTGTGAATTGACCTTGTTTGGAAATAGGGTCTTTGCAGATTTAATCAGGTCAGGATGAGGTCATACTGGATTACAGTGGGCCTTAATAAATGACTAAGTGTCTACAGGAAAAAGGAAATTTGGACACAATGTCATGAGATGATGGAATAATACCTTACAAGCTAAGAAGCACCAAGGATTGCCACCAACCATCAGAAGCGAAGGGAAAAAGAAACAAAGGTTCCATCAGAACCTTCAAGAGGAGGAACCAACCCTGCTAACTTTTGATTTGGGGTTTCTGGTCTGAACTATAAAAAGTAAATTTCTGCTATTCTGAGCCATTTAGTTTCTGGTAATATGGCAGCCACAGAAGATTAATGCTAATACAGAATATCAAAATCTAGAAATAAAGGCCCCAGTTATAATTTCATAGAATCACTTTCCCCCACTAAGTTTGTCATAAATGAAAGAGTAGATGCATCCTACACAGACACAAATCATAAGACATTTTTATAATTGAGAGATGTTTTGGCTTCTGGACAGAGCTTAGAGATTCTCTTTTGCTCATTTCTTTTCTAGATCTAAACAAAGTTTGTAAAAGTAAGCTTATTATGCTTCCTTAAATAGGAATTTATAGTAACTTTGTCCACTCAGACTTGGGTGAAATGCAGTAAGTGCTGACTTTTAAACTAAGAGCCTTTTCCTGCATTTCAGAGATGTTCCCAGAAGACCAGTTTTAACTGGAAGGCAAGAAGGACATTTTTTTTTTTTTTTTTTTGCAATGCAACTAATAAACCCAGAAGGCCTTCAGGAAACCACAGTAGCTCTTTTCCCTGGCTGCCAGTTCTCAGATTAAGAATCCACTGGAGTTGAGTCCTTGAATAATACAGCTCATTAATTGTGCCTTAGCCAAAGGTTGACTGTAAGGGGACTTTAGCTAAGAAGACCCAAGGAAGTAATTTCCCATATGACAGAAGACATTGGGTTATGTAATTTCTGTTTTCTCTCTTCCAACTTCCATATATTATTCTACTGGATACTGAGGAGCACTTAACTGCTGAAAACCCATTGAGACCACACAAAAGAATGGCAGGTGCCAATGAGAGTGGTCTGGCATTGACCAGGTTTCTGAGCAAAGTAGAAGGAAGGGAAAGCAGTTGTTCCTTGAGCTGAGAAACAGTATGGCAAGTTCCCTGTGTGCCCCAGGCATGCTGGCTTCATGGAATTGGAGCCCACTGGGCCATTGTTCTGTTGTCCTTTGTTTAATCCTCTGTATCTTCTTCTGCACGTTGATGGAGTTTGATTAGAAGGAAGCTGGGCTAATTGAGGATCTGGAGCTCCAGCAGATAACCAAAGGCTGGTTGTTTGATTTTGCTGTCGTTCCTGTTGTGTATTTTTGGTAATGGGGATTGAACCCATTAATCCAGGGCCTGGTACACACTAGGCAAGTGCTCTACCACTGAGCTACGCTTTCAGCCATCACTGGGTTTTTGAAGGCCACCAAGTGTGTATCGTAGCACTGCCTGTGTGACGTCGAACCCCGCCTACAGAGACACACAGACAGCACTAGCGTGCTGATGAGCAGAAGACTGCTGGTTGCACACAGTCCTGCCAAGATGCCCAAGTAGCTGGGCTTGGTGGTGAAGTTGGTGCATGCCCTCCTCCAGCCTGAGGCCCGAGTCAGGCTCAGGCCAGCTCTGTTGGCTGCCAGCACACACACGCGGTATGTGGTGCCAGGCGAGAGCCCATACAAAGGGTGCTGACGGGCGGTGGCATAGATGTTCTCTACCACTGACTGGTTCTCTGCCTTGCCCTCTGCGAAGTAGTGGATCTGGTACCCATGCACCACTGAGTTGGGGGCACACCAGAGGATGAGTGCTGATGTATCTGTCATCTCTGACACCCCCTGCAGCCTGGGGGGGTCCGGGATAGTGTCTTCCCGGCTGAGGCCAGGGCAGCTGCACCCTGAGTGCCTCTGCAGTTCAGCGCATGGGGTCTGCAAGTGCTTGCAGGGATGGTAATCACAAGGGACATACTGTTCAGGTGCTCTCACCTCTTCCTTGGTCCCTTCCTCTTCACCATAGTCATCCAACAAGATGACTGGAATCCCGCCTGCCGAAGGACCCGGCTGGGGAACCTGGGGAGTGGCCTGTGACCTCTGATCAGGCCGAGTTGTGTGCACGGGGTTCCTTGAGGTGGGGAAGGGACCGTGGTGTTTGCTGGCCTGTGGGGTGGAGGCAGCTGAGACATCAGTTTCAAGGACAATCCTGGTAGTATGTTTTCCTCCATGATTTGTCCCAGCTGTGCTGGCAGCATTGGGTGGAACACTGAAGTTATAGTAACTTGCTGTGGAGTTGACACCGGACTGGGCAGTCCCCTGCCCAGCATCACCATGAGTCCATGCAGCTTGTAAGAGGGAAACTGCAGTGTGGGAGCGGGTGTTGGTGACGCTCTGTTGGCCTCCCGAAGGCTGGGTGGAGGGACCCTGTGAAGATGGTACATAGGCTGAGTGGTCAAAGGAGGGTGGGTCTGAAGCCAGGACGGTGGTCCTGTGGTCTGACCTGCACAGATCAGGCAGCTGGGAGAGCAGAAGAGGGACGGAGAAGGGACCTCCAGATTCAGCAGCCGGTATGCACATAGTGTCTTTGGCCCTACAGAGGAAGCCAACCAATTAGAAGATGCCTGGCTCTGAGGCTGCATGTGAGCTGGGTTTCAAATCCTCAGAGCATTTATCCCGTCCTGCCAAGGCTTGTCAACATGTCTCCTGCCAACACGTCTAACTTGGCATGTGCTCCTCACACATGGCCTCACTGACCCTCAAGATATCTATTCAGAAGGCTCCTATCACCACTCCCATTGGGCAGAGAGGGAAACTGATTTTCATAAAGAAGAACCAACTGCCCAAAATACCATGGCTAGTCAATGGCAGAACCTAACCTGGGGCAAGCACTCTGGGCATCCCAACTCTCTAAGGGTAGTTTGCCATTTTTGTTCTCACCTGTCCGCTTCCTGGCAGTGAATGCTCATGATAATATTCACACACTTGATAACATTTTTGAGTGCTTGCCATGCGCTGGACACTATCCTTCACACGTTATACTAATTTAGTCTATGCTATCTTATGAGGTAGACACCATTATACCCATTTTCTAGTTAAGGCAGTAGAGGTACAGAGAGATTAAGTGACCACCAAATCAATAGTAGGAGGTAGTAGGAAGCCACACTCTAGCTCCAGCCTGTACTCTCAACTCCTTCATCAGTACCACAGCAAGAGACCCTGGATGGCAGAGGGCCTTGGGCACCTGTGTTGGGAAGCAACCTGGGGAACAGGAGTACAGATTATGTCTCACATTACAGCTGCGCTTGGATGGGAGGTAGAAAAGAATCCTGCAGATGGGAGGATTGTTTCCCAAATAGGAGCAGTTGGCTGGTGGAGCTGGTTGGAGAGTACTCATCATGGGGGATATTTCTAGTGCCCCAGTGCCCATCTTCTCCTGGTACCAGCCTGGGTGTGGCTCCCTCACTGCAAAAACAGCTCTTCCAGCCAAAACTTGCATAAGAATACTTTTTTTCCTGTCCTGCAAGACAGCTCTACAGGCCTTGAGTTGAATGGCCCAGGAGCAGGAAGCCAAACTCCATCTGGGAGATTCATCAGGGTCTGGTGGTTGAGAATCAAGTTTTGGAGGAAGATAGAACCTGACTTCTCCATCCAGTGGCTGCATGGATTTAAGCAAGTACCTCATCTGTTCAGGTCCCATTTCCCTCATCTGTAAAATGGGACAAGAATACATACACTTGCTTTAGCAGAGACAAGCTAGCTGTTCACCTGACTCACCTCCTTTTCCCATCGGGCACATGGCTAGACTACAAATCCCAATTTTCCTTGCAGGTAGATGTGGCCTGTTGACTGAGATTTTGAGCAGAAGCGAGGTCACCACCTACCAGCCTGACCCATATAAAATCTCCCAAGGCAGCTCCTCCATGTTCTTTGCCCCTTCTGGCTGGCAGGAAAGGGGACAGAGCCTCTACCACCCTGGTGTAACTAAATGGAGGAGGGGATGCTCTGCGCAAAGCTGCCCAAAGGCCCAGTATCATCATATGGGCAAAGATGCACACTGAGACAACTTTCCCTCCTGAAGGCGAGGTAACCTCAGTCATCTTGTTTTGTAAGTGTGTTACCTGCTTAGGATAGTTCTCTTTGCATCCACAAGGAGCCAGGACAGCTCACAGCTGCAAGTGAGAGGGTTGCCGAAGAGGTTGATGGATAGAACCTGGGAGGAATTCATGGTCCAAGGAGGGAAGGAACTCAAGTTGCAACTGAATAACACACACACAAACACACACACACAAAAAAAAAAAAGAAAAAAAGCAATTAACTCAGGCTTTTACAGACATTTTTAAAAAGTTCCCCAGAGAGCTGGATGTGGTGGCTCACGCCTGTAATCCCAGTGGCTTAGGAGGCTGAGGCAGGAGGAACACAAGTTCAAAACCAGCTTCAACAAAAGCAAGGCACTAAGAAACTCAGTGAGACCCTGTGTCTAAATAAAATACAAAATAGGGCTGGGGATGTGGCTCAGAGGTCGAGTACCCCTCAGTTCAATACCTGGTACCAAAAAAAATGTTTCCCAGAAAGGCATGGTGGTGTTATAGAAAAATAATTCTGTTAGGGATTAGAGGATATTGCTTTGGATAAAACATTCGATGATTTTGAACCTCATTTTTTGCCAACCTAATGGAGTCAATATCATTTCTCATATAAAATAAGGATAACACTTTCATGCCAATAGGTCATATCATGATGAAAGTATTTATGAATGAAAGTCTCTATACATAAGTAGATATTTTTATTATAGACCAGTGACAATAATTGGTAGGTTATTTTTTTTCTTTGCAGTGCTGGGCATCAAATCTAGGACCTCTCACATGCTAGGCAATTGCTCTACCACTGAGCTATACCCCCAGCCCAAATTTCTTAATGAGAACTTTATTAATGGATGCAACTGCAGCTGAAGCATAGGTGATGGCACACGATACCAGTCTTAGGAAAGATGCCTCACTTAAGTGTATCAGTTAGCTCTGGCTAAGTAGAGAACTGTGCCCCCAAACTTAATAGCTTGATCCAATAATCATTTTCTTTCTTTCACATGATTCTGAGGGTTTGCTTGGTGCTTCTTGTAGTCCAGGCCAGCTTGGCTGAGGCCATAGGATCTAGGATGTTCTCACATGTATGTGGCCTCAACAGTGTGTGTCAGGACCTTTCTCCTTGCATCTCATCACTCAGGAGGTCAGCCTAGACTTTTACATGGTAAAAGACTTTTACATGGGTCCCCAAAACAAGAGAGGCCAACCTATGTTCAACTGTGTTCTAGTTTATGCTTATATCACATTTGCTAATATCCCATTGGCTTAAGCAAATCACAGAGCCAAACCCAACTTCAAGCAGTGAAGAAATAGACACCACCTTCTGATGAGAGAAACTGTAACCATGCGGTGGGGCAGGCCGACAGGGGTGAGAGGGATTACCAGGGTCATTTTTTGCAAATAGTCTTAGCAACAGCAATCCATTCTTGGTTCTCCTTCCTTTATTCCCTAGAGTCCCCACAGAGTATTTGGCCTCAACTCCTTTCTCTCCAAGTCTCCTGGCCCTCATAGATTTTGCATCCTTTACATGGATTCAGTTAGAATTCATCATTAACCTGAGCTGTGCTTTTCCTGAAAGCCCCGTCTTATCAAAGGATGCCTTTCTTCCATTTATCTGGGAACCTGCCTCCTCTTACTAGTACTCTGGGGCAGATGCTAATGTTTTGGGTAAGGAATGACATACCACCCAGATCTGCTCTATCACTTCTGGCCACCAGGAAGGTGAAAGGCATCACCTCTGAATGCCAGCTCTAAGTGTGTGCCACTTATATTGAAACTTACACCATGCCCACATATACAAGCTTGGATCCACCTTCAGACCTATTCTTCCCAATCCAGTCTGATGCATTGTTATTTCCATCTACTTTATAACACAGCACATGGCGTGTGCATCTGCTATTGGTCACATATTGAACTGTGAGCTCCTTGAAAAGAGGGGCCATCACCATCATCACCATCACCACCATCATCATCGATATTTCTATAAGACATCCATTATGTGCCAGAAATTCAGTGTTCCACACGCGAAAAGCCCCAAGGTGAAGTACTATTGTCATATCTTTGTTTTACAGAAAAAGAAACTTTATGTTGTTGATATTCTGGCACATTACACAGTTCTTGGATTTTTATCAAGTTCAAAAAAAGAGTTAGATCCAGACACATACAGTGTTTTCCTTCATAATGTAGTGTGCTCAATGAATGAAGGAAAGAAGGAGCGAACGGCTCTGTCTTTGAATAACTATTCAGCCTTTTAGAAGAAAAATTCCATCTCTAGTGACTTTGTTGGGTAAGACAGAACTAACAAGACCCATTTCTAAACTTCCCAGGGATTTTTTTGTCAATAATACATCCAGTGATATTTGCAGAATTCTTTGGTATTTTCATAACAGTATTTTCATCTACTGGATTCTGGAAGGCAGGTGGGGAAGTATTATTCTTCTTTTACTTAAAAATATCAGGCTGTGCCAGGTGTAATGACACATACTTATAATCCTAGTGGCTCGGGAGGCTGAGGTGGGAAGACTCCAAGTTCAAAGCCAGCCTCAGAAATTTAGCAAGACTCTGTCTCAAAATAAAAAGGACTGGGGATGTGGCTCAGTGGCAAAGTGCCCTGGTTTCCATCCCTAGTACCAAAAACGAACAAACAAACAAACAAAAAGTCGTCCAAGTCAGTGGTTGCTCCTGGGCACCAAAGTAGGACACACTGGACATCCACCATGCCAGAGGGCACCAACTCCAGATCTTAGCTACAAGACCTTCCCTCCCAGACCTGCTCAAACCCTGTGAGGGACTGAACTTATATGACGTGTAGGAAAGGAGGTGGATCCAGTAGAAAAGAGGCCTGATATTTTCACCCCCTCTTCCCACTGCACATTTCTCAGCCTGGAAAGAAACTTATTCTTTAATATGACTATGAACTGGACTGAATTGCTGGGTGGGTCATCTGAGACCTGTCCCAATTGCCCCAAAGGATGAGGAAGAATAAAACCCCAAAGAAGATTTGGAAGAGCAGGGAGAGAAAGATTAAGATCCAGTTTGTTCTATAAAATTCAACACAGTATAATAGAACAAAGATCAATTCTGTGATTAAAATGTGTCTTAGAGACACTTACTTCTGGAACAGAAGGACCTGTAGACAAGGAGTGTCTTGAAAGATGTGTGTGTGGACGGAAGTAAGTGCTGGGGAGGCCTGACAATCCAGATGCTGGAGGTGAGGGGTCATCTTGAAAATGTCGCTCTCCAGGATCCTCAGCCTGGGCATCTTCCTCAGGTAAAGGGACGTGAGCTTCGGCAGGTCTCTGATCCACCCAGGTTCAACTGAAACACAGAGGGGACACTGTCCTTTACCCCAAAAGACACAAATTCAGATCAGCCCATCATTAAGGAAACAACAAAGTGACAAGATGAGTCACAAGCATGGGTGCAGTTATTGATTTGGGGGATCTCAGAAGAATGGCCATTTTAGCTGGAAGGGCCCTCACGGATGACCAGTCCTTCCTGTCTTCTAGCCAAAGTTGTCCAAGGCCCAGAGAGGAGAACTGTTGGCCCAAAGCCATACAGCTGAGAAGGGACAGAGTAAGAGTGGTACCCAGGACATTCCAAGCCCACTGCTGCCTCACCTGATTAAACTCCACACACAAAATAACCAGACTTCACTGCGATGGCTCCCAGGAGTGAGGAACCTTTGAGGCATGTAAGTAAGGAGAGGGGATCAGACCAGAGTAGAACTGGAAGCCAATTTTTGTGGCTTTCCCAATAAATGGAGAATGTGCTTCTTCTCCTCTGTATTTTCCATTCTTGTTCTTTTCTTGTTTCCTTGTCCCTGACAGACAGGTGGTTACAGACACATGAAGTCTTTTTTTTTTTTAAGGAAAAAAACAAACAAACAATAAAATCAACCTTGCAAATCAAAGTAAGAACACCAAGCACAAGAGAACCATTTTCCTCACCTCCTGCCTGGGTCCTGTTCAAATAATTCACCATTCACGGAAACAATGTTATCCAACGGAGTAGAAAAATAAATGAATTAATCTTGAGATCATCAGTTACTTCACATTAACTGCACCAAACGTGCCAAGTTCATTCATCAATGAATCCCATGCTGGGATGCCAGGCAGGATGGCGCACGTTTGTAATCCCAGAGGCTCAGGAGTCTGAGGCAGGAGGATCACGAGTTCAAAGCCAGCCTCAGCAACTTAGCAAGGCATTAAGCAACTCAGTGACACCTTGTCTCAAAAAAAAAAAAAAAGTATTTTAAAAAGGACTGGGGATGTGGATTAGTCGCTAAGCGCCCTGGGTATATCGTTACCAAAAAAAAAAAAGTGACTACGTTTTGGGCTCTGGACCCAGAATGGCTGGCGGAATAGGCTCCAATTTGGGAGCATCAAGCATTAAATGACCTGTGCCATTCCACCTTCCTGTGACTTGGTAACCTCCTACTTAAAATGGAGATTGTAAAGTTCCCACTGCTGGGGAAATGCAACTGGTGTTACTGTTGACCACTACTGTGAACTTAAACACTTGGATCACGCCTAGAGGAACCCTTCCTGTCCCTGGCAGCGTGTGCATAGCCGGGTTCTGTGCTCCCGGACTCACCTCGCTCTAGGTATGTGCTGCTGAGATCCAGGGTTTTGAGCGCAGCCAGAGGCTCGCCATCCGCCCCAGCGAACGCTCCATCGGCGATGCCATCCTGGACTCCGAGGCCCAGAGCGGAGGCCGAGAGGTTGAGGAGCTGTAGCGCGGGGAAGCAGGCGAAGGCCCGAGGCTGCAGCGCCTGCAGTGGGTTCCCGGCAAGGATCAGCACGCGGAGGTTGCTCAGCGCAGACCCCGCGCAGGGAGGCAGGGCGGCCAGCTGATTGTAGCTGAGGTCCAGCGTGTGCAGCCCCCCTGGGCCGCCGGGGCTCCAGCGCACCGCTGCGATGCGGTTGTGGCGCAGCGTCAGCACCTGCAGCTGCGGCAGGTGGCGGAGCTCGGGCATGCTCAGGGCACGCAGCAGGTTGTGGCTGCCGTCGAGGCTGTGCAGCGAGCGCGGCAGGCAGCTGGGCAGGCGCTCCAGGCTGCGGTTGGCCAGGGTCAAGGCCGAGGCTCCTGCAGCCGGGAGCCCCTCGCAGGGTGAGCCCGTGGCGTTGCTGCCGTCACTCTCCCAGGGCCCCTGCTGAGTGAGTCGGAAGAGCGGGACCTTCTCCTGGAAAGTCTCGGCCTGGCTCTGGTGCAGCACATTCAGCAGCCGCAGTAGCAGCAGGGTCCACCGCATGGTGAGTGCCTGTGGGAAAGACAGCCGGGCCACCCGTTAAATCCAGTGAAGGGCAAATGTGTGTTCCCACCCCAGGGTGCAAGCCCTGGATGTTCACTGTGGACATCTCCTGTGTCGAGAACCCCAGGCACTGTGACACTTCTTGCCCTTTCTTCTCTTAGCAATGCCCTTCCCTCTTCTTGTGGGAGACCTCCCTCATTGGTCCGCTGTGGTCCTGAATCTCCCAGTAACCCCCTCCATTTATTTATTCCTATCTCTTGAGCTTCAGGAGAGAAGGAATATTCCCCTTTCTGCTGTAAACAGATTGTAGATTCACAGCCGTGAATATCCTCGGTGTTCTTCTGGGATAGAAATATGGGACTCAAGGAAGATTTTTGTCATACCCAATAACACTCAATTGTCACGATTTTCCCATTAGAACTCCCAGGCCGTGGGTGAGTTGTAGTTTGCCTAAAATAAATTCTGAGGTCCCTTTTTTTTAGGGGCAAGTTGAGGTTTGCCTTCAGGATAAGAAAACAGCCTTGGGGATTGGGACATTGGAGTCAACGATTTCCTGGTCCTACATAGGTTTCAACAAAACCTCAGGCCTTCAGTGTCAGCACTGCCAGGGAAGGGTGGTTGAGAGCTGCTAGGTGGGAGTTTCAGGAGTACCTGGGATTGCACAGAGAAGCTGGGAGATCAGGTAGTGATAGATCACACTGCTGTGGACTGGCTAGGAAGTGGCAAAGCTACTTCTGTCAGGCCTTGATCTTGAAGTTACTGTGTGATACCGCTTCCCCCCTCCCCCTCCTTACTACAGATGTGTGTTTCTGCCTTGGCTGTGGGCTGACTGCTAGATCTGAGCCACCATCCAGGATCCTGGGAAAGGACCTCCCTGCTGCTAGTTGGGGGTCAAAGCAAGGAGAAAGATCCTAGAAACTGAGGCCAGAAACACATTCATCCAGCAATATGTCATACTCACCCAGAAGCTGCCTTGTGGAGTGTGGCACCCCTGGATACCCCTTGACAGTCTTCGATCTTGTTTTATGTATTCCAGGAACCGGTGACTTAGAGAGCAACTCAGCTTTGAATGCCAGAGGGATTACTTTTTCCTCAGCCACCCTTCCCCCTCCCTGTCCACTGAGAGAGCCTGAGATTCTCCAGACTTGCAGCCCCTCCTTCCCCCAGACGTTGTTGACTTTAGCCAACACCACATTGCCTGTCTCTCTCCTCCCTTCTGGGAAGTGGGCTGCCCCTCTCCAGATCTGGCACCTCCTCCCAGCCCTCCCCATCTCCACCTTTCCTTACTCCACCTCTCCAGGCCTGAGGAATGGAGGCAGAGAGCAGCTAGTGGTACATGAAGCAGAGGCAGCTCGGTCATCTCTCAGGAATCCCATTCTGTCTGCCAGGTGCTTCTCATTTCTTGGGATGGATGGAGGCTGAATGGTGGGCTAGTAATGGTGAGCTGAAACCCCCCTCTCCCAAGGAAGGCATGGGGCTCTAGTCTAGGGAAGGGCTTGCAGAGATTCACAGGAAAGTGACAGGAAAGGAGAACTTCAGAGGAGACAGAAGACAGATCTGCCTTTGGTTGCTCTGAGAACCAGGTCAGTGACAGCATAGATGTTTGCCTCTCCTAAGGAATGGGAACAAATAAAGGAGGCAGAAGTGAGGAAAGAGCATCCTTGCCCAGGGACTGGGAACGATGACTCCTGATTACCAAAGTCCCCAGGTCTCTTAAAGATGTGATGGGACACCATGAACTTTGTTTACAGCCTTGTTTAGAGCAGAGAGCACCCTTCTTCCGCAGAGCTTCAGAGAGCAGAGATGACTCATTTTACTTAAGAACCTTTGATCTCACTCTCTCCCTTCATTTCTCCCAGCCCCCCTAGAGGCCTGAGAGCAGGCCTGGGCTCATTTTTCCCAGTTCTGTTGAGTGCAAATCCTGAGACCAGAACTTTATATCTTTCCTTCTGTCACTCCTCATCTGAGCAGCCCTGAGCAGTCCCAGGACACCGTTGGTTTATTTGGGTAATTGTATGTCCTAGAGGTTTCCTTTGACCTCTTCTCTACCCAAAGCTTCAAAAACACCCTTGTCATGTAGATGTCAGTAAGGGGAAGAGGTGTTGCTCAAAAATATTGCTTGGTCTGTCCAAGCTGGGGCTGGTGGTACTGGGGAGGTCTGTTCTATGCTCAGGATTGGGCCAATGCAGTCTCCACCCAGAGCGCCTGGGCCCTGGCTCCAGAGCTAGAAATACTGCACTGTGCATGACCAAGAGTCCTAGCAGGAGGGAGAAGTTGAGAGAAAGGTGGGAAGGGGGAGGGACAAGGGGGCTGGCCCAGAGGCACCAGCCAGTGGGCAGCCTGCAGTTGAGGCCCTTCCCTCTGCCTTTGCATCAAGAGTTCCCCAACCAAGAATCAAAGCCTGAGGCTTCCTTCAGAGTTGAACCAATTCAATCCACCCAGGTGAGATGACTGGCCACCTTGAGGCCAGCAGGGGCTTGGGGGATCCAGGCAAAGCTGGTCAGATGAGAGGAATCCAGATCCACTGAAATGTACCCAGGAGGAAGGAAATTGGTGAACCAGGAAGGTCTATAAAATAGGACCTCAGGGAGCCACGTCAAGGGCACTCCTCTGTGAACCCCCAGGATGAGTGGTCTAGAGAGGCCCTGGCTTCTTATCATGGGTTACTTGGATACTCCATCAGTGGTGGCAAGGGTCTGGCCTCTATAGATAGCTGACGTGCTGTCTGAACTTGGCTCTCTGGGCTGTTCTATTGTTATGGTCCCCCCACTCCAGCAGATACAGCCTTAGTGGGCTGTCCAGTCAGGTCCTTGAGCTAGGAAGGTTAATGAGACAGAGGCAGCTCTGTGTGGAAGAGTTTACTTATTGTCCCTCCTCAGGTAGGGAGGTGGCTTTGCCCTTGCCTCCTCCAGTGACAGTGTACACTCTCATCATCACGGTCACTTTTTAAAAAGATAGAGCCTAATGCCAAATGCATTATCTATTGAGTTCTCTCTAAGTATGATTTTTCTCATGTTACAGTTAAAGAAACTGAGGCTCACAGAAGCTGAGTAGGTTCTGGAGCGCTGTCTGACTTAACTAGTGAGCTGTCTGATTTAAGCACGGAGTTCAATCACCTTCCATGGGCTTTATTTAGCATGTTAAATTACAGAGTTAATCTGTAATATTCCCCTTAAGCACAAAGAAATTTCTCCAGATATTTAGATAGACCCAAATCATAAAAGAAGTCATGGTTGAGCAATATATTCTTAAAATACACTGATTTGACTTCTTGGGTCACTGGGCACAGGACTGCAGAAGAATCCTGAGCAGGGTCCTTTCTCTTCTTCTAGCATGTCTTGGAGGTCAGGAAAGGGTGACTGAAGTGTTGTTCCCTTCGTGGAAGGATGCCAAGAAGTATATGAAATTTCCAAGTGCCACACCAAATGTCACATCACACCCAATGCCACACTGGGTCCTATCCCCCATGGCTTTCCCTGAGCTGTTCCTCCTGCCTGAGTGCTCCTGCACTCTTCCTTGATTGACTTAGTCTCTTGCATCAAGTGGTGAGAAGCCAGCCTCTGCTTCTGATTGGTTCCAGGGTGCTTCAGCAGCTTCAACCTCTGGGCACATCTGCCTTTTCCAGAACATAAGTCAGCAACTCCACAGAGGGCTATGGGACCATGGATGGGTACTGACAGCACCTGCTATAGCTCCCATCAAGATTTTACCCAAGCAGGCCCTCCCTTGCCTCCCCCAAGCTATATTAGGTGCCCTTCCTTGTTGTTCTTTCTCAGGTGATATTGGCTGCCTGCCCCTGGGTGCTTGACATGTTTCTTCCAACACTTAGGAATGAACTTCCTGACAACAGGACCCCATTGGTTATCTCATTAGCCCCAGAGACGAGGACCAGAGTATGGCACTTAGGAGAATGTCTGACAAGTAAAAAGGAAAAGGCATGGGAGGATATGGCGGATCGTGATGTTCTCCAATGTCCAGTGGGTGGATGGAGTGGGACTCAAAATAGGACAAATTAAACCCAAGAGCCTAAGATTTGCAATTCAAGTCCTCCAACATCCCAGTGTTGAGAAAGGCTAAGGTGAGGGTGAAGATGATGGAGGTGGAAAATTGAGTCACAAAGAATTTTGCAGCCCACTTTCCAGCACACTCATGGATCTTGGATGGAAATTTCTCTTGGAAGATCTATGTTAATGGAAATAGCAGCAGGGGAAGAAAGAACACACTTGGCTAACCTTCCTTTTTGGATTTAGATAAAAACCAGGGTTAAGATCCTTGGCTTCAACAGGCACTTTAGAACTTATCTGGTCTCATCACCCCACATCATCAGAGGGAGAAAACTGAGCCCCAAAGAGGGACATTGGCTTGTCTGAGGTCGCATAGTGGGGAGACCCTCGTTGTGCAGTGAGAAGGAAGGGAGGCTCATTCTCAAAATTCCGTTCTGGGTTATTTACATAGCTGACCAGGTCACACCTATCCAACATTAGCAATGTGTGCTTATCCCCATAGGAATGGCTGAGTCAATTTTCCTGGTGGGACCCAAGCCCTGGAAAGAGTTTCTAGTGATTTTGACTCCTGTTGTACCATCCCATCCCATAAATCCAGGAACAAATAGCCCTAATACAGGTTGCCCCAGAAAATAAGAGAGCCCTATTTGGCTCTCTTCAAAACTCTGGCAGCCCCGAGTGGGGTGAGGGGAACTGGCCCAGGTGACAGGTGACTGCCCAGCCCTGCTCTCCCCATGCCAGCTGGCTCTGCTGCAGGTTCTTTCCCCAAATGCTGGAGCTGGAATGTGCAGACTTCAAACTACATTCTTCTCTGACACTAGAGATAAACCACAGGAATGGGAGGGCGACTGAGGGAGGAGATGGTACCAGGTCGATAAGCCTCCTGTCTCCAGGAAGAGCAGTCTCCCCTGGAGTGGAATGCAGTTATGAGGCTTTCAAGAAAGGAACCAAGATAACCGAGTGAGTTCACGGATGTCACCAACCTGCCTGCAAGGAAGTGACCTTAAGGGAAAAACAGAGTCATGGGCTGAGAATTGGATTTATTTTCCTACTGAGGTTCATTCATTAGTAGTACTACTACTGATAAGATGGCAACCTGAGAATTTGTGGTAAGTGTTGACTGTAAAAAGATACCATTCGATATCTTAAAAATCTGTAGCAGCAGAGGAAAGGTTCAAACTGGAAATGAGAGGCCAGACTCTAGTCTACCACTGGAAGGTCATGTGGCTGAAGGTCATGAGACGAGACAGTACACGGACTGTACACACATTCTGGAATTTACCCCAGGCAGAGGCAGCACATTAGAGGGAAAACAAACAAAAAGCAAACAAACCTTAAACTGGGACACAGGTTGCTGGATTCTCATCCCCACACTGCTCCCATCTTACTGTGTTCTTAAGCTTCTGACAGTCTCAGTTTTCCTCAAAGTAAATGAATTGATTTAGCAATACACACACACACACACACACACACACACACACTCAGAAATCAGTAAGACTTGCACCTGCCCTCAAGCAGTTCCCAGTCTAGAACAGGCAGAAGACAGAACAACCATGCACAGTGTGTGCACACTATCAAGTTCATATGGGACTGAACCATGAGCTCTGATAGCTCCGGGAACGAGTCCAGCTTGTTTAGTGCTCCATCTCCCCCAAGGTCTTGGCAGTTCACTCATACAACGCATGTGCCATAGTTTGGGTATAAAATATCCCCTGAAGGCCCATGTATTATTAAGGGCTTGGTTGCCAGCCAAGCACTACTGGAAGATACTGGACCCTGTAGGAGGCAGGGCTACTAAACAGAAGTTACATCATTGGGAGTGTGCTCTTGAAGGGGACATTGGGACCCTGGCCTCTCCTTTCTCTTTCTCTGATTTCCAGCCACCATGAGGTGATCAGGACTGTTCTACCACATGCTACTGCCATGATATACTCCCACCTTGTCACAGGCCCCAAAGCAACTGGCCAATCAACCATGGCCTGAAAACCCAAAACCTTGAGCCAAAATAAACCTTTCCTCCTTACAAGTTGATTATCTCAGGTATTTTGTTATAATAACAGCTGACTAACAACATGCTTAAGATAGTTGCTGCAGGAGTGAGTGTTTATTATCTGTTTCCTTCCC